CTGCTGCATAAACAGGCCTTAAATTAAGCTTCAGACTGTGAAAAACCAGACCCTGGATTTCACAAGATTCCGTGAACATTTTGCTCATTGTGTTATGACAAAGGAAACACACACGATGACCATAGTGTTCAAGTGCACTTTAGGGATGTGGTTAAAAAGTTGGAAAAACTTTATGTCAGGCAGGGACTGTTAAGACTAAAAGCACATGCTTGCAGTTTGTATAAAATGGCAGACTTGCTCAGTTGTGGTTTTACTATGTACGGAGAGAAAGGTTTTTAAATACCTGGAAAAATCCAGTTTTAACTTCAATTTTTTTAAAGGCGGCTTTTAAAGTTCTATCAACTATATTAATGCACTTTGGGGCTGATGATTATTAATGAAAATAAACTTACTCTTGCATTTGGTATGTGTTTTTTATTTGTAAAATCTTTTAAGTCATCATCATCATCATCATTGTGTACTAAGTTAATTCTGACTTCAGGGGACCCTTTCCGGCAGAGAATACTCAGAAGTGGTCTACAATTCCCTTCTTCTGAGGTCATCCAGGGATTCTGCAGCTTGCCCAAGGCTACCCAGGTTGGCTCTTCTGGAATGCACAGTGGGGAATCAACCGCTCAACCTCTCTCTAAACTACAGGTATCCAGTCAGTATTTTTAAACTGTTAAGACATTAAATATGCTTTTCAGCAGTGCAATGCATTTTTTTTCTAAGCACTAATCCCTTGCAAACTGGGACAATTCAACATCCTTATTAATTCCTTTGCATTGCTTATAATTCTAGACACTTGTCATTCCCTTGTCACTCCTTCCATGCAACAGTAATTCATTTTCTTTTTATTATTATTATTTGGCCAGCTGAGATTCTTTGTCTTTAACAGGGAAGGTCATCCTCTGTTCCTTTTTCATTTTGTTCCAGCCTGCTAAGAGGCTCAGAGCTGCAGCCAGCTTTTATGTAAAGCTGCATAAATAGATTTATGTGGTACCGGCCTTCTTTCTGTTTCTTTCGTTGTGTTGGATACATACTGGCTTTTCATTTATCTCTTGACTGCTGCAGTGCACCAAACCGATGAATAGTTCTGCCGATTCATGAAAGTTTTCCTCTGCCCTTCCTTGCTCCTGATGCCATCTGAAACTCTTGCTTTCCCTCAAGAACTTTGGTGCAACTGCCTATTGCTGAGTGATTACTGGGAGTAAATTATTTATTAGAAAAGGGGGTTGAATCAAGAGGTATGTGAAAAAGAAGCATGCAATACACATACAACAGCAACAAAAAACTGGCAAATCCACATCTTGAAAAATCTGTGGTTTTAAGTGAAATGATTTTTTTCAGTTCATATTTCACGCTATACTGATGTAGCGCTAAACCACTTCGGCGCTATATTGCTTGCTGCTTTTTTTAAAAGGACACGGAATCAACCACTGTCTGCAGCAGATGTGTGGAATCTATTTCCAAGAAATGTTTTGGTAAATCCCTTTCTCCAAAACCTGTAGTTTATATTCGCGTGCACCAAGGCATGCAGTGGGTGGGCAGGAACAAGATTTTAAAAAGTTGTGTATAGGAAACATGGGAAGGAGCAGATTTAAAGAAGAAATGGTGGTAACACAGCATGGAGAGTGGGAACAGCCTCCTGAGAGAACAGAAATGTAAGCATGGGAATATACAAACATTATGCTCTGTGACTGTGTAATACAGCATGTGTGAATCATTGTGGAACAATTACCCTCTCTGGACACACCCTAAGTTTCTCATTCTATGAACTTTAACCCAACAATACCTTAGACCAGCGGTTCCCAACCTTGAGTCTCCAGATGTTCTTGGACTACAACTCCCAGAAATCCTGGCCAGAAGAGCTGGTGCTGAAGGTGTCTGGAAGTTTTAGTCCAAAAATATCTGGGGACCCAAGGTTGGGAACCCCTGCCTTAGTCTGAGCAGGGAAGCTTGAGTTCTTAAAGCATGCGTCCATCCAGCGAGCCGCCTGATTGTATCGCTCCTGGAAATCTTTGTAGCTGTTCAGGATACATCGGAGATATCCCACGTACAGAGCAGATGTGTGGCTAAGACAGTAAGCGGTTAGTGCAAAATACCTCTGCAACAAAATGGAGTCGGGATACCATACAGGTGATTTAGAAGAGATCCTGCCGCTCCTCTGAATGACAGCCTTTCAGGTATTTCAAAAGTGCTATCCTATCCTCTGTCTTCTTTTCTCAAGGCTAAAAATGCCCCGTTATTTCAGTCTTTCCTCCCAGGGCTTAGCTTCCAGCCCCCAATCATCCTTGTCGCCCTCCTCTGAACTTGTTCCAATTTGTCAGCATCCTTTGTGAAGTGTGGTGTCCAGAACTGGACACAGAACTCAAGATGAAGCCTAACCAGTGCTGAATAAAGGGGGACTAGCACCTTGTGGGATTTGGAGACTATACTTCATGACATCACATAGTATAATAAGATCTTAATACTATACTATTGTTAGTTACTGCACTGACTCGTTTTTCTGGTTCTAATACAAATATCCTTGATTAAATTGGGGCAATAGAATAAAGCTCTCAGTAGTGTATATCAACACAGGTTTAATGGTGAATAATAAATCCTCACTACAAGCCCTTTAAATACAATGAACTTTTATATGAGATTGTAGAAGAAAACAGGAGAACTCACACAGCCTTCCCAAAAATGCCACGGCTTCAGTCTTGTACAATGCTTCGGGTTATGAAAGACAGACGGAAGTCTCAGGATGTATAAACAATGTAGATGTATGATATTTTATCACCTGCCCGACACTGGATTCCCAGTATGGTGTAATGGACAGAGTGATGGACTAGGACTCTGGAGAACAGGATTCGAATCCCCACTTGGCCATGGAAAGTGACTGCAGGAGTGGAACTGGTAAAGCCATTCCTTAAATATCTCATCACTTACCTTGAAAGCCCTATTAAGGTCGCTCTAAGCCAGTTCCAACTTGACAGCACTGAACACACACACACACACACACACACCTGAATAGTTTACAGCCTTCTTTGGAGGCTACACAAAACACATTTGGCAGGTTTTAAAGTGCAATAAATCCACATTTTAAAATACATCCTGAGACGTTTGTCTCTCTTCTATAATCACATCTATTGGACATCATCAGTTCCTTCTGTGTCTTCTTCTTCTTCTTTGGTACAATATTTCTGAAAAAATTTGATAGCATGATCGTTTGTCTTCACATTCTTGATCTGATTTAACTGATGTCCAGGCATCCTTATTTTTTTACACAAAGACACAGCAAATAAGTACACAGCATTTACAATGTCTGGACAGCAAACAAGAAACAGCTTCCACCCTGGGCAGGGTGGTCTACACTTCATCTCTAACCATCAGTGGTTGCAGAAATAATCCAGCTGTGCCCAGAATACACACAAGGACAAACACCCACAGGAAGATGCGATCAATTACCATAGCAACGTATTTCCAATCATCTTGCGTCTGGAAGATAAAAGCAGACGTTGAGATCAGTTGAGACAGCGCTATACTTTGCAAGCTTACCATGGAGGTAAGAAACAGTTTAAGGTCTGTTTGGGTCCCCAGATGTTCTTGGACTACAACTCCCAGAAATCTTGGCTAGCACGGCTAGTGGTGGAAGCTTCTGGGAGTTTTAGTCCAGGACCGTCTGGGGACCCAAGGTTGGGAACCACATGTTAGGTGTTCCAAAAGCAATAAATGTGGTCCCAAAGGGAAAATATGACTGAGTGTGTTGGGAACCACTTATTTAAGCCACTTCCCCCACATGTTAGGTGTTCCAAAAGCAATAAGTGTGGTCCCAAAGGGAAAATATGACTGAGTTGCTTGCAGGAGGCAACCTGGAACCCAGCTTCTCTTGATAGGAGAAACCTTACTTGGGAAAATCAGAAATCAAAGAGGTAGCTGTGTGAGCCCATTGCAGCAAAACACCAGAGTAAGACCGACCCATTTTATTTGGCATGTTTGGCACCTGGCAGTCTTACTGGTGCCACAAGGCTCCTGGTTACTCTTATTGGACCAAAGGGTTGCTTCAGAAGCAAGGTTCCAATAGATGAATGCTGTTCCACCAAATGGATGTGATGCTCACAGAAAATAAATACAAGGAAATGAAATGTTTGGGTTGTTGGATTGTATGCGTGTATGTGTTTTGCAACCTCGCATGCTGTCTTTAATAGATTTGGGTGGGAGGGACCTTTCTGGGCTGGGGTAGGTGTCAATCTACCCAGTACTAGCCAATTGCTCCTTCCCTGTCTATCAGTTCAAAGAGACTCCCACCTCTGGGCTCTGCCTCTTTTCCCCTCTCTGTATCTCTTGAAATCTGTTGCTAAAGGCAATCATGTTGTAGACTGCTGTTTATATATTCAAGTATAAGTGAATGAAACTTTTTCCCCTCTTTTCCCCCCTCTGAGACTGTAAGTGCCAGTTAATGTGAAAAGGGGTGGACTAATATGGGGAGCTTGAAGCTATTCTTCTCAGCAAATCCTTCTGCTGGGCAGCTAGGGGGGATTTAACCAAAATGCAAAACTCATGCAACCTAATAAAGGCATCACCTGCTTCTGCAGGTGTACAAACTCCCCTCCCTCCCATTTTTTTACTTGTTCATTGCTTTATTTTCAGATGGTATCTTCCCATACCTCTTTAGCCTCATTCTGCAGCCTCATGTTTTCCGAAATGTATTTCACACTCTCGATGGCGTCTCTCATTTCCGGCGAAATAAGCGAGGAGGAAAGCAGAGCGTCTACGGATTCGGAGCTGGAGCTCTCGGTCAGGTTGCTCTTCAAGGTGATATATTTTATATGCTGGTGCCGGTAGCAGCTGCACTTGGCATCTTGGCACGGAAGGTCAGCTTTGCCACCCCTGCTTTCCGAGGCCCCGAGGCAGTTTAAGTGGGAGATCTCGGAGCTGTAAGGCGACGGCGGCTTTAGCTTCGGAGTGTGGCTCTCTTCCTCTTTCTCCATCGGCCGGGTCATAAACATGACCCTGGGCAAGAAATGGAGGAAAACCAATCTCACCCACCCGGGCATCGTATGAGTCCTGGGCGTTCGGTAGTGGACGTTCAGCACGAAGACGGTGATGACGATGGAGAGGGTGACGAAGATCATGGTGAAGAGGAGGTACTCCCCGATGAGGGGGATCACCAAGGACGTGGAAGGAATGGTCTCCGTGATCACCAGCAGGAAAACAGTCAAGGACAAAAGGACGGAGATGCAGAGAGTGACCTTCTCCCCGCAGTCGGAAGGGAGGTAGAAGACGAGGACAGTGAGGAAACTGATCAAGAGGCAAGGGATGATCATGTTGATGGTATAAAACAGAGGCAGCCTCCGGATGTAAAGGGAGTAGGTGATGTCAGGGTACACCTCCTCGCAGCAGTTGTACTTGATGTCGTGTTTGTAGCCGGCAGCTTTGATAATGGCCCACTCCCCGCTCTCCCAGTAGTCTTTGAGGTTCATGGTGGAGCCGACCAGGACCAAATCGATCTCCGCTTTTTCGTAGGACCAAGATCCAAATTTCATGGTGCAGTTCTGGTAGTCAAAAGGGAAGTAGGTCACATCGATTTTACAGGAGCTCTTGAAGATCGCGGGCGGCGTCCACGTGATGTTCCCGGTATAATTCAGCAGCGCCTTGGTTTTGTCATCTACCTGGAAGTCTCCGACAGCGCTGTTAAGAAGCAACCAATTCAAAAGCTCGTTATGCTCATCAAACATTTCTCGGATAGAGGCTAATAATGAAGGCTTGCGTTACAGACCGGTTGTGAGGATGAATGAGGGTGAAACGTGAGGGTATGCTCAATTCGTACTTGGACAGGGTGCTCCCTTAAGTGGAAAATCTGTTTATCCTAGCACCGCCATTTCTCATCTCTCTATAATTAGCGTACTTTGGTCACTGGCAGGTGAACATGGGCTTAATTGGGAAGTCTGATTCCTTGGACGTGCAGCTCTGAAAAAATTTATTGGCTACAGGACAGAGAGGCCAAGAGCAGGTAATATTTACAGATACTCTCTTTAGTGTTCAGTTTAAGCCTGAGAGAACATGTCCAGGCTTTTAGGAGAAGTACATCTTCTGGAAAACTAGAACACAGAATGGCCTGATGGGATTAGAAGGTCAGTAAGGATAGCTTTTCTGCACTAAATCACAGCTTTTAGGAGATTGTCGAAAACCACTGTTCTGTAAAAGGTAAAGGTAAAGGTTCCCCTTGACAATTTTTGTCCGGTCGTGTTCGACTCTAGGGGGGCAGTGCTCATCCCCGTTTCCAAGCCGTAGAGCCAGTGTTTTGTCCGAAGACAATCTTCCATGGTCATGTGGCCAGTGCGACTTAGACACGGAACGCTGTTACCTTCCCACCGAGGTGGTCCCTATTTATCTACTTGCATTTGCATGCTTTCGAACCGCTAGGTTGGCGGGAGCTGGGACAAGCGATGGGTGCTCACTCCGTCATGTTCTGCAGGGTGGTATAAATAAAGAACAGGGCTCATCCAGAGGGAGGCTGCTGAGAGGCTGGCATGACTGGGCTAGCAGCTCTTTGTAAATTGTTAACGTTTCCTGAAAAGCTCCCATTGACTCACAACATGAAACAACAAGCAGAAAGAATAAATATCTGGTTAGGCAGTAATCTGATTTTTCTCTCTCTCCCATATGACCATCTCTGAGAAACACGTATCTGTGAATGCAGACATTTGAAAACATCGATACGTTAACAGAGCTGCTGCTTTCATTTAGAACAAACGTTGCTTGCTTTTAAATGGTCTGAGTTTATTTATTTAAAATATTTATACGCCGTCTTTCTTTTAAAAGATCCAAGGTGGCTTACCGTATCAAAGGAAACAAAGTTAAAAGCTAAATAATAAATTATTGCAAATTTTAAAAAGCATTAAACAGACATCATATTAAAACCCATAAATAAGAGCAATATTAAAAGTTCAATAAAGTGTTCCAAAGAAAAATAAATTCTAAGCCAAGCTTAGCCATTTTCTAAATATACTATTTCAACTATAGCAGGACTGCAGTTCTTAAACACATGAGTCCGAGAAATGGTAAAGCCACTTCCCAGAAACATTTTTGTTGTTGTTTAGTCGTTAAGCCGTGTCCAACTCTTCGTGACTCCACGGACCAGAGCACGCCTGGCCCTCCTGTCTTCCACTGCCTCCCGGAGTTGTGTCAAATTCATGTTGGTCGCTTCGATGACACTGTCCAACCATCACGCTCTCTGTCATCCCCTTCTCGTCTTGCCTTCACACTTTCCCAACATCAGGGTCTTTTCCAGGGAGTCTTCTCTTCTCATGAGATGGACAAAGTATTGGAGCCTCAGCTTCAGGATCTGTAATCATCTGAACTAAATTTCCCAAAAACCTTACATGCCTTTAAAAAAAACCCTGGATAGGACAGAACTGATATGATGGCATAAAGCAGTGGCTCCTAACCTTGAGTCCTCAGATGTTCTTGAACTAAAAATCCAACAACTCTTTACCACCAGCTGTGCTGGCCAGGATTTCTGGGAGTTGTAGTCCAAGGTTGTGAACCACTGGCATAAAATATTCATGACTTATAACTTAGTAATTAGCAGTAAATCTCATTTGGCCTTAAGACGTTGGCAGAACACGATTAGAGGGAAATATGAATTCCTTGAGGATCTATAACTTCTTCTCCAACCCCTTTCAGTCTGTGGGGGATGATGAGGGTGCAGAGCAGAACAAACAAGTGTGGAAAACGAAACACTGGGCTGGGTAGCCGACACTGAGGATCTATAACTTCTTTCAGTCTGTGGGGGATGATGAGGGTGAAGAGCAGAACAGACAAGTGTGAAAAACGAAACACTGGGCTGGGTAGCCGACAGTCCTGCCTTTGTTAGCAACAGCTCCCGACGTTCGGAGAGAACCCCGGATTTTATTGCAACTTTCAAAATGGGTCAATGCTTTCCTGTAAGGCAAATGTGATCATCTTACTTGTTATATAAGACAATATCTGGCTTCCAGATCTTCTGTGACGGCACCCGGATGAACTGGACTCCCCCGTAATTGTCCGGATTCCATTTGAGCTTGTAATCGTTCCAGATCTAACCAAAGAAGAAAGGAATGAAGCAGAGAAAAATTGAGATGATCAGGCAGTGTTTAGACTTCCCTCTGGGTCACGTCACACATCTGGGGATCACCCAGTTAGCAAAGGCTGCCATTGACTAATGAGTTTCATGCAAAACTGCCTAATAAGTAACAATTTTCTGTCTCAATTCAAGTTGCTAGTACTCATCGAATCCATCCGTTGATTCTGCTGCCAGCGTTCCCGGGCTGGCCTGGCCAGCCACTGAGTTTTGATCCCTCTCACCATGGCAACGTTGGGGGAATATTTTGTAGTGTTGATGCAGAAATGGCAGCTAATTAGGAGCTTGTCCATGGTAGCATCTTTTTTTGACGAGACCTCATCTAGGAGAGCAGCCAACAACATAATTGCTGGATAGCTCAGCTGGCTGCACAGCCTGAGGTTGGCAATTCCTCACAATGCCTCCTTGACAGGGGCTGGGCTGGATGACCTCACAGGGTCCCTTCCAGCTCCGTCATTCTAAGATGATGATGATAGCAATGTGTTTGTTTGAATGTATGCCCTGACTTTCCATTCACCTAATCAGGATAACTGACAGTGCCTTGCGACAAGCTGAATCCACCTAAGAACGTCACAGAGCATTTTATCAAAGGTTAATTGCTTGCCCTTTTCAAAAGAAAGGGACCTAATATATACAGTTTCAGGAATACAGTCTCTGTGCCACGTCCACGGAATTTCTTCGAGTATCAAGACTTGTTTTGCTTTACTGTGCACAAATGAGAGAGCCACTGGAGGGCAGAAGTGCATTAAAAATGAAATGTCTGCTGGCTGTAGATCCCCTCTTCTATAGTCTATGCATGACTACCAGACATTCCTTGTTCAAAAAGCGACAGGGGATACATGACAACGATTTTGAAGACCCTAACTCTAGGAATCGGGAACCTCTTCACCTGTGTGAAGGGTCCTGGTCATCCATTGTATTTCTACAATGTTGAAAGTTTTTTAAAATATTTGTTATGTACTGTCGCGTCATCCCCCCCACTGATGGCAACCCTATGAATGAAGGATTTCCAAAATGTCCTGTTCGCAAAGCTATGGTTTTTCCAGTAGCCATGAAGACCCTAACTCTAGGAATCGGGAACCTCTTCACCTGTGTGAAGGGTCCTGGTCATCCATTGTATTTCTACAATGTTGAAAGTTTTTTAAAATATTTGTTATGTACTGTCGCGTCATCCCCCCCACTGATGGCAACCCTATGAATGAAGGATTTCCAAAATGTCCTGTTCGCAAAGCTATGGTTTTTCCAGTAGCCATGTGTGGAAGTGAAAAATATTTGTTATGTACTGTCACGTACTGATGGCAACCCTGTGAATGAAGGATTTCCAAAATGTCCTGCCCTCAAAGCTATGGTTTGACCATAAAGAGCTGGACCATAAAGAAGGCTGACCACTGAAGAATTGATGCTTTTGAATTGTGGTGCCGGAGGAGGCTCTACGTTGAGTCCCCTGGACTGCAAGGAGAACAAACCTCTCCATTCTGAAGGAAATCAACTCTGAGTGCTCACTGGAAGGACAGATCCTGAAGCTGAGGGTCCAATACTTTGGCAATCTCATGAGAAGAGTCCTTGGAAAAGCCCTGATGTTGGGAAAGTGTGAAGGCAAGAGGAGAAGGGCACGACAGAGGACGAGATGGTTGAATAGTGTCATCGAAACAATCAACATGAATTTGACACAACTCCGGGAAGCAGTGGAAGACAGGAGGCTCTGGCATGCTCTGGTCCATGGGGTCACGAAGAGTCGGACACGACTTAACGACTAAACAACAAGAGCCCTGTTCACCTCCTGAGAGCTCAACCCTGTGGTTTCTGGTAAGGACTCAACCTATCTCGTATTCTGTCTTCCTCTTTTCCTGCTGCCTTCCACCTTTCCCAGACGTATTGTTCTTTTCAGAAAATCCTGCTTTCTTGTGATGTGCTCAAAGCAGGACAGCCTGAACATCAATATTTTTTACCTCCAGAGATAGTCCAGGTTTGATGTGATCTAGAACCCACTTGTTGGCCTTTCTGACAGACCAGACAATCCACATACCTCTCCTCCAGCACCGCATGTCAAACAAATCATTTTTTTTCCTCCCAGCTTTTTTTACTGTCCAGTTTTCATGCCGTACATGATGACAGGAAATACATTTTAAATTAAAAGGGTCGCCCTAAGTCAGAATTGACGTGGCAGTACATGATGATGATGATGGTATATCTGAAATTTCTTATCTTCCCTCCCCACTTTTTAAATTTAAACTTACATGTCTCAACCATAAATTGGTTTCCATAATCTGGTTCACTTCATCCTGGAGAAAGAAAGAATCATGACTATGTTTTCAATATTAAAACTGGGGCGCGCGCCAATTACTAGAAGCATTCAAGAGAAAGTTAGACAGCCGTCTGCACTTTAACTTGGTTTCTTGCCCTGAGCAGGGGGTTGGGCTTGATGACCTCAGAGGCCCCTTCCAGCTCCACGATTCTGTGATTCTCTTCTATGAAACCCTTGACTGTATGCAATAGCTGAGGTGGAAAAGAAGAGGATGACGCTCTTTTTCTTGGACCAAGTTCTAGATCTGCTATAACTCAGTGGTTTAAGCAGAGAGGTTGAGAGTTCAAATCCCCTCTGTGCCTCTTTGACAGGGGCCGGACTTGATGATTTACAGGGTCCCTTTTAGGCCTGCAGTTGAAATATTATAATTATTTTAAAATGGTTCTTTTGCTGGGCCTGAACCTACCAGTAGAATTAAGTGGGTCCCACAGGTAGTGGATTTGGGGCATTAGGAAAGTCTGAAATGTTGACTTTTTGATGGCTTACGGCTGTATTTTTACTACCAGGGAAAGAGAAAGGTGATTCTCATCTTTCAGTGCTCAAACGGCTTAACTGGCCTCAGGAGTGATGCACTGCAGGCAGCAACATGTCTTAGCCAGGCCCCTTTTAAAAACGATGAGCAACCTGGGGCACAACAATCACCCTGCACACCGAGTCACACAACACAAGCCTTTGGCCTACTCACCACCTTGACCAACTGGGACAGGGAGACTTCGAACCAAATTATAACCGGATCAGATAAATTCTCCACAGGTCGTATGATGTTATTGTAATTTGCAAACAGTTCAGTATAAAGACGGTGCTCAGCTTCAGAACAACGGCAGCCTAAAAGAAGGCAGAGTTAAAACACACGTGTGCGCACACAGAGAGACACACAACCCCTCTCCTTCCCTTCCTCCAAGGACTTCAGTTTAGAAGGCTAGAATATTCTAAATACACTGCAAGCTGTTGTATTCCATGACTCTTTGGTCCATTCAGCCCCATATTGTCTGCTCTGACTGGCAGCAACCCTTCACACTGCTCCCTCTGTGAGCCATACCGGAAGATGCCAGGTATTGAACTTGGGACCTTCCACATACCAATCCTATCCTGCCCCACTGAGATACAGTTCTTCCCTTCAGTCTTAGGAAGTGCCCGATCTTATCTAGAGCTATCATTGTATTTGAAAACTAAATCACAGGGATGGGTGACGTCTTTGCCTAGATGTGTAAATACAGACTGAATCAGAGCTCTTGGATGGTTTTGAGGCAACCAGAAAGAGCCTAAGGGAAATCATGGGCCAGAGCTGTAACCCTCTCACAGGGCCTTTATGTGATCTCTGGTATTTATAGGGTTAAAACAAAGTGGGGAAAGGGGAATCAAAGGTATGATTAAAAGTGGGGAAAGGGGAATCAAAGGTATGAAAGCTTTATAAGGAAGACTCTGAACTAGTGCTAATGGAGACTGACAGCTTCAACCCCAGTGAAGGCCAAGACCTTCTCTGCCTACTCCCATTTACTCAGAGTCGAGGCCACCATGCTGTAATAGCTGCTCACCATTTTTTCCCTCCAGTTGCAGCACAAGCGATGTACTTCCGTATATTGCCTAGGCTTAGCATTCTCGAAATTTTCTCCCCTTGCCTTCTTTTCAGAAGGTTCATCCCATTCTTGGGATCAAGTCTGTGCGTGTGCATGTGCAGAGAAATGCCTGCATTTCTGAGATTAGATCAAAAATGCACTTTGGGGCCTTACGGCCCATCTCTCCCTGTCTTTGCCTTCTCTTTTCTTGTTGGTGAGCTGGTGTTCCTGCCAAAGTTCATTACAGATGCCTTCTGCTTCTCTTTTTCTCATGTTTTCCAGGCTGGCTGGGTGGGTGGGTGAATAATTCCGTCAGGAATACCGTATTTTTCGCTCCATAAGACGCACCTTTCCATAAGATGCACCAGTTTTTTAGAGAAGAAAACAGGAAAATATAATCTGTTTTCTTCGCCCCATAAGACGCACAGACTTTCCACACCGTTTTGTGGGGGGAAAGTGTGTCTTATGGTGCGAAAAATACGGTAATTCTGGTGGTGCCCTGTAACGCCACTGCCACCTTGAGTCACAACAGTTTCCTTTTTCCTATTTGCAGGAATCTTTTTTTTTTTAACCACAGGACACCTAAAAACACCCAAACAGCCTCATGGACCAAAGCAAAGATTGCTCTGGAGCATCTCCAGAAGAGCTCAAGTTGACTCAGGTGCCAACCTGCGGTACCTGGTCAGGGGGCTAGTGCACATCCCTATTAAATAACTATCCATTATCCTTCTGCAGCTGCCTTCATTCTTCCCTGTTCCTCTTACAGACACAGGAGACAGCCAATTAAAACCAAACAAAGTAGTTGAGAGTCCATTATTCTATTGGCGAGAGACCTCCAAATGGCCACGTGGCCGTGTAAGAGGCAAATTACCTTTATGATATAATGATATAATTAATATGATCCAGTAATAAGGAAGTGAGTTGGGGGACATGGGTGAGCATTTCCGTGCTTTGCGTTGTGTTGGATAAATTATAACATACTATTTTAAGGCATGTGTTCATCAGGACTTTTTAGACACATTTTAGCCCAGGGGTTTCGAATAATAAGTGCTTTTGCGGATCTCCCTCTCAAAAAAAAATTATAAACTTATTTAAAACATGTTGGAATGACAACAGGGTGGGGGAACTTCTATGGGGCTTGGGGCCATCTTTGAGCTCCCTGGGACTTCTGGGGGCCCAGATTGGTTACCAAAATTAGTCTCAGATACATTTTCTCAGGCATTAACTCTTTTAAAAATTCTTCATTATAGATGGAATCTATTTTGACGGCTCCTAATCGAGCTATCCTGCTGCTAATATTGCTGAGGTCAGAACGATGTACCCATTCAGACATGAATTATTTGATGGTTTCCTCCAAACGATCAGCCACAAGGAAACAGCCCTGGCTGGGATGAGACCATACCGCAACCCACCGACCAACCGGCCACCGCAAAATTGCAAATGGCAGAAATGCTCTGAAGCCATTAGCAGAATCCTCTGTGTAATCGTCAAAAGTAAAAAAAAGAGTGAAGGGTGGAGCTCAGCATTTGTCTAGCACTGTCTGGGGAAGGGTGGGAGAAATGGGTGTTCTTTTCCGTTCAAGCCAAATGTGGATCAAAATGCTTGGGCATCTTTCAATTCATGATGTAATCACTGAGTTCGACCCAGGGAAGAGGGTGTGTAAGTAACAGCCAAGTGGGTTTTGGCTGAGGGTAGGGCTTATTTTCCTGTCTGGCCACCTGTTGCTCTGAGCTCATGGCGTGCTCTTCCGGAGGGGGAACCCCAGTATCTGTTACCAGAAAGTGGGAGCCGAAAAGCTTTTATCTGCAAGCCAAAGCAGCCTTCCACCCCCTCTGGATCCAACCCAGTATCAAGTGATCCATCATTACTCTGATCCATGCAAAAAGATCAAATGCCAGTTCTCAAAATCTCCTGGAAAGTTCTGATTTATATCAGCAATTCAATTATTATTATTATTTTTTGGCATAAGATACTTCAATCTTCCATCTCCACCCTATCGGATTGGTTCTCTTTCACCTGCCCCTCTCCCCACTTTTTTTGGCTCCCCGAGGATTTTCACCCAGCACCCCCTCAGCTACATAACTCTGTCCACCCCTATAATAAAAAGTCTGAAGCTGAAATGCTGGCCGCAGGAGAGATAAGGTGCACTTTTGTTTAAGGATGTGTCCAGCCTTCCTTGCACTGTAGAATTGAAAGACGCAGAGACATTTCTAGACCCTTTTATAAATTCCTTGGGAAATTGGTAGGAGTGATTAGGAGCAACCGCCCCGATGAGCTGTTTTTGGAGAAGAAATGTACGTTTAAAAGCACCACCGCTGCAGAGAAAAAAACAACATCAAACCCACCACGAAAATGAATCTTAGGACATGCAATGAAATATATGCACTGTTCTCAGCTTTCGTTCTGTTGGAAACTAAGACCCAGTAACAAGTATTTTCCCCCAGTGCTTACGGTTACCTCTCCCACCCCTCTCTTCCAGTCTCCAGAGGACAGAAGGCGCTTACCTTCAAGAAAAAAGGAAAAAGCCAGAAAATGAAGCAGCTTCTCCATCCTTCCTAGGGTTTCAAGAAGTCCCCACCTTCCAACAGAGCCTTCCAGAGACACGACCAGCCGGCAGCATGATACAGGAGGAGGCTAGATTCAGATGGAGGTGGTATGGCACTGGGCAGCCAGTGATGTTCAAATCCACAGATCTGTTCTTAAAAGCATTTTTTTTAAAAAAAATTACAGCCCCACCCTCGTTGTTTTCCTGGCTTACCCCAGTGAGAGATTGAAACCATCCGACCCCAGAGGTGTGTTAGCTACTGAAGGCAAAGGATCCTCCTGGCTACGGTTGCACAGAGAGAGGGGAAGGGAAAAAAAGGAAAGGGGGGGAAGCCCACCCACTGATGCATAAGCAAAGCTTATAATCTGATACCATCGAGAGCTTTTGCTGTTGAGCGCCTATGTGGTCAGGATCAAAACCTTCCTCCCATGCCAAGCTTTTTCTCACAGGCCTGACTTAATGAAAACGGAATGTAATTAAATTGTGCACAGGATGAATACTGGCAGGAGACAGCAAGGCAGGCTGGCTTGACTTTGGACAATATTAACAAAAGACGGCTCAGTGAGATGGAGCAGGGGAGCCAGGGAGCAGGAGCTTAATTCCCCACTGCTCCTCCTGGGGAGAAGAGCCAGCCTGGGTGGCCTGGGGCCAGCTACACAGTCCCAAGGATCCCCCCCCCACCGTAGAAGAAGGGAACAAGAAGCCACTTCTGTGAATTCTCTACCTAGAAATTGTCTCCATAAATCAGAAGTGACTCGACTGCAATGAATTATTATTTTGTAAAAAAAAGAGGAACTTTTGTTGGAGGGGACTTGACTGATGGACGCTTCGAGCGAAGGACACTTTGACGATCCAGGTCCTGGATGCTTATGGGTTTCAGCAGGAAGTGTAGAAGCCAAGAAAGCACTTTGTTCTCTCGCTTGAGGTGGAGATCCTGCTTCAAACGTCTTCAGCCTTCCAAGCTGAGGATCGCTGGCCCAGCAACCTGGCCCTGCGGCAATTCTAGTGTGTGTGTGATATAAAGCCATGTCAGATCCAACTGATGGTCGCTCTGTTGGGGTGTGTGAGAGTATTCCCAGTGACCTCTCTTCCAGTGACTTTCCACGGCTGAGCAAGAATTTGAACCCAGATCTCCTATGTTTGATTCTGACATTCTATCCACATTGCCACTGAGCAATTCCATTAGTGTATGACTAATTGGGCACTCATTTGCTCCCCCCTCCACAACATGCCATTAGAACCAATAGCCTTGGGAAGAAAAGAAGGACCCCCCCCAGTGAACTACTGTAATTGCTATGCAAATATGTGTCCTTTTTGCCATTTTAATTATTTCCTGCTATTTTTCATGGATTTCCGTTTTATACAATTGGATGAAAAGGAAGGAAATCTGGTTTTATTGCAGGGGTCACACACAGACATGCTGCAGCTTTAATGGAATTATCTTCTGAGTGGCATGCCATAAATCCACTCACCAGTTCTCCAACAGCGAAGCATTTATTTAAAAAAAAAAATTCTAGCAAAATCTTTTAAAATTTTTTAAAAATGTATGTCTTAGAAAACAGCGAGGCTGCTTTTTTTTAAAAAAAAACTTTTTGTGCCCATCTCTAATTCAGTGCAAAAAAAAAACTGTATGAAGATCCGCTTACTCTTTTTTTTCCATACAAGAGAAAGGTGGGGCAATCCCCACGTTTTGCAGGAAAGCCATAAAAACTACTGTCCCACTGCCCCCCCCCAGGCTTCTGTGCTGCAGGGAGAAGCCCCACCCAATCCAAAGCTTGAAAAAAGTTACTTTTCTGCATCCCGGCGCTTGGAACCATCCATCCAGCACAGAAACTGTTTTCCCAAGTTCTGTACCAACTCAGAGGTCTGGAATTTGCCCCTGTACTGTAGTTGAACGGAGGGCCTTTAAAAGGCGAAGAAACGGCCGCTTTACAATCATCAGCAGAACTCTGTTAAGAATTAAGGGGACTTTTTCTCTACTGTAACAGTTTCACAGTTCGGTAAGTTGCCGAACACCCTACTTTTCTTGACTGACTGATCATCAAGAAGTAAGAAAAGGATTTACTAGCAAGCTGATGAAGCAAAAACAAAAGCTTTGGGGATGGGGTGGGAGCTTTGGAAGAATGTTTTATCACCTTCTAATTGCAAAGCTGGCCTCTTGACTGTGTGTGTTCTGTGCTGTTATGTTGGAACTGACTTATAGAGACCCTAATAGGGTTTTCAAGGTAGGTGAGATATTTACGGAGTGTTTTTACAAGTTCCACTCTCCCAGTGAGTTTCCATGGCCAAGTGGGGATTTGAACCCTGTTCTCTGCAGTCCGAGTCTGTCACTCTGTCCAATACTCCACACATGGAATCACGTTGATTGTTTGCTGGCTTAATATCCAGGATCTTCTGTAATACCAAAAGTCGCAAGGGGCGCTGATTTGAGCTTTTCTGCCTTTTTCTTTTCTTCGTTCATTATTCCTTGAGTTTTATGCTTTGCTCACAAGCCTCAGGGCAGAAATGGAATAAAGGTCAGTTTCATAATGAGAAAGGGAGCCTGCTTTTAATAGGTAAAAATATCATCCTTGTTGATATTCCTAGTAGAATGTCAGTTTCATAATGCTTTTAATAGGTAAAAATATCATCCTTGTTGATATTCCTAGTAGAAATTAAAGACTAGCTTGCTTTTGTTCTGTAATTGGCCATTAATAATTGTGGAATTCATTTGCAGGCTGGTATCGCAAGTTTAAAGGATGTGAAAAAAAAAAAGCTCTCTGGAGAGATAATGTTTTATCACTCTCTAATTGCAAAGCTGCTTTTTTGTCTGTTTCTGCCCTTACATATTTTCCCCTCACACTTTCTCCTTAAAACGGCAAGAACTACATGATCAGAACTTTCCTTGTTCAGCACTTTGTTTTCCACTGTAGTCAGTTAGATATTCTGGAAAATTGCAAGCACTTTAAAAAAATGTTTCAGTGGCCACCTTTAAGGAACTGATCAATATAAAAAATAACTTGGTTGAATACTGAAGAGGAGCAAAAGCCTGAAAGTAGACAGAAGTCTGGATTTGATGGGTGGCCTGAAACAGCCATCTGAAACTCAGAGCCACACGTTTCTCCTCTTTTATGTTTTTAAGTTTTGTACAATTTCTTATTGAAAGTATACTTTATTTAAAGTATCCATATGCCACCTTTCTCCTAAAGGACACAAGGTGGCTTACAGCAGAACATGAAAAGCCAAATAATAAATTATTATAATTTTTAAAAGCATTAAGCAAATATCATATTATAATTCATAAGAGCAATATTAAAAAGAAGCAAAATACAGAATAAAATGATCCCTTAAAAAAAACTCCTTGGTGAACCTGTCATTTAAAGGAAAGCCTGCCTGAAAAAAAAACCCTCCTTGGTCAACCTGTCATTTAAAGGAAAGCCTGCCTGAAGGTCTTTTGCCTGCTTGCGGAAGGACAGCAAAGATGGGGCCAGGCTGGCCTCCAGTGGGAGGGAGTTCCACAGTCTGGGAGCAGCCACCGAGAAGGCTCTCTCTCCTGTGTCTCCACCAAATGCACCTGTGAAGTGGTGGGATTAAGAGAAAGACCCCTCCTGATGATCTTAATTGATGCACCTGGTGGTGGGAGTGAGAGAAAGACCCCTCCTGATGATCTTAATTCCCGAATAGGCTCAGTAGAAGGACATGTGGTCTTTTAGATAGCTTGGACCGAAGCCACTGAGGGCTTTGTAAGTTTAAACCAGTACAATGTTGCTGTTGGTAAAACAGGCACTTCTTTAAGAATTAATATTATCCATTTAGTTCCTCGTGACTGTAAGTAAAGCCGTCTTACATGAAAACCAACAATAAGGGTCTCAAAGTGCATCTCCCTTGCCCGGTGCTAATAATGACCTGAGGTGGTCCATTGAGTTTCGATGGATTGTGACCGATGGATATCTTGATGGCCGGAAATCTCTCTGTTTTTGTAGAAGACACCCACTCAAGCTTGGGGAAAGTCAGATTATCCCAAATATCAGAGAGGGGAGATGTCCCCGTGTTTGAAAACCAGGAGGTAGCAGCGTGACTAAATATCTGTCTAGACTCTAGTCTTTACAGCAGGAGCTGCCATAGAATGTTGCAGCGTAGAGGACTCCCATTCATCTCCTCTTCCAGTAGGCCATCTGGGTCTTCCCTTGCCTCCCTGTTGCTAATCAATCCCATAATTTTCTTCCTTCCTCAACCAGGTTTGTTATTCTTCCAAATCTTAGGATTTCTCCCAGGTGTGTCCCCACTTTTGTGGGGGGAGTGGACCCCTCTGGGTGGGTCTGCCCCCCCCAAGACATTTTCCTGTGTGGGGCAGAGAAGCAAAAGGCGCCAGCTGCCCAAGCCAATCTACATCTGTTTTGGTGCAATTTATTTTGTCACAGGCAACAGAACATCCTCTCCCTGGCAATTAAGAACGACGGTACGATAAGTATTCAATAAATGAAAATCTGCAGCCTTTCGATGACCTGCCAGAATCTGGCACCCGAGGTGGCTGATCCACTCTGCCCAAGGATTGGTCCAACCCTGGCCTTTGATGACACAGAGACGACCAGTCTGAGACTGCTATGGATGCATAAGATGCAGGAGGTCTGCAGCTGCATCTATCCTAGGCTATTCTCTTCTTCTAAAAGTAGCTGAACTGCCAGTGTAGTATAGTGGATAGTGTGTTGGATTAGGACCCAGGAGGCCTGAGTTCAAATCCCCCTGCTCAGCTAAGGTAACATTCAGAGGCAGACCTGCACTGATGCAACCCCATTCCTTGCACATCTCACCTACCTTGAATACCCTGTTACGGTTGCTATAAAAAAAGAGCCTTGTGGCACAGTGGTTAAACTGCAGTACTGCGGTCGAGACTCTGCTGAGACCCGCACTGATGCAACCCCATTCCTTACACATCTCACCTACCTTGAAAACCCTGTTACGGTTGCTATAAAAAAGAGCCTCGTGGCACAGTGGTTAAACTGCAGTACTGCGGTCGAGACTCTGCTTTTAATTGGAGTTCAATCCCAATGTGGTCCGGTAGCTGGCCTGAATTTGGCTCAGCCTTCCAGCCTTCTGAATTTGGTAAATTCAGTACTCCGTTCAACCCAGAGAGAGGGTTCAATCCTTTCCTGTTCTATTGCTGTCCAGACTGAAACAACGATTCCTCTCATTGTTGTGCAGAGGGTTTTTACCCAATAGGAGTTCTTGGCAGAGATGACCGGGATCACACCTACAGGGCAGGCAGAATGCGCCCTGATACGATCGCCTTGATCGAAAACCACGACCTCCACCACTCCTATTAGGACATGAAAGGCGAGTCGAAAGATCGAATCAAAGATGACTCTCTATAAGAACACCAGGCTTGGCTGTGCAATAGAAGGGAGTGTTAAGCTGCTAATTAGGACATAATTGCCATGAATTGGTCAGCAGGGTAGTGAAACCACATTGGTTTGTTCTGGGCAAGGAGGAAAAATAATTGTGAGAATCCCTCCTTATCTGTAGTGCAGTTGCATTTGTAAACAAAGCCTGCAAAGAGAGTTGAGATCTGCCATGCTGTCTATTGGGGCACTTCCTTGAAAGTAAGTCCCACTGAAGTCATGGTGAGGCACTTCCAAAATGCAGGTGGCATGAGAGCAGAGGATCTCCAAAGGACCAGGGGCCAATACTCTAGGATCCCCTCCAGAGTCTAAAGCACCGAAGCAGGATGGAAAGCAAGACCAGGAAAACCATCGGCAGAGTCTCCAGTGACAGGCTCGATCAGGGTAGAATATCCGGAACCCTTGAGCTGCTTAGAACCCCGATTTTTTTTTCAAGCCTCTGGAGTCAAGTCAACAGTCCTCCAAAGATTTGACATTTTTTTCTTTCCAAAACCTACGTTCAGATTAGAAATCCACTTGGTGGAACTGAATATTGGAGGAGCCGAATACTGCAAGAGAGAAGGAAAACATCTACCCAGAACTTGTATAAATAAAATACTGCTTTAATAGACAATCCCTGTGTGTTCTGTTCAAAGTCAGCACATGACCTCAATTCCACAAAAGACCAAAACAGAACACTGGAATGCTACTTAGGTTGCCTTCCGTTTCGACAAAAGACCAAAACAGAACACTGGAATGCAGTAATTCAACCTTTTCAGACCTTGGTCCGACTTCCTTTAACCACTATTATTATTACATAAAGTTCGTTTTTCCTTTTATCGGCTCACAGGTTTGTTTCTTTCTCTTTCTGCTTACCTTGCGTTCCACATCCTTTCTCCCTCTTTACCATAAGGAAGCTTTTCACCAACCTGTGCCCTCCAGAGATTTAGGACTACGTAGAATGCCCCATACCGCCTTGGGGTAGCGGGATTTGTAGTCCAGAGCTAATAGCAGGGACATCAGAACAGAGAAAGGTTCCAATCTTCTAAGAGGGAGTTGGAACGTCCCTACCATTCATGCACATTCACGACAACATTGGAAAAAAATAAATAAACCCCTGGCTGCCTCTAAATATGGCTTGGTTCTCCATTAATATGAGCTGGTCCTCTTTTAATATTAAACTACGGCTGCAGAATCTTTGGTTCTCTGGATGTTTTTGGGCTACCGTTGGCCCTACAAAGATTGGCCAGTGGTAAGAGAGTGTGGCGTAAGTTGAAATCCCACAATATCTGGAGGCAATGACCGGGGTGTGTGTGTGTGTGACCACAGGTAATCCATCCCAGGTTGTACACTTCATTTCAGGGGAGCTATCCAAGGTGGCGAATCTAGTTTGGAGACACTGTTCAGAATCTTGGGCAGTTCTGGTTCTGTAAATCAGTGGTCCCCAGTCTTGGGCCTCCAGATGTTCTTGGACTACAACTCCCAGAAGCCTTCACCACCACCTCTGCTGGCCAGGATTTCTGGGAGTTGAAGTCCAAGAACATCTGGAGGCCCAAGGTTGGAGACCTCTGCAAATGACAGGCTAAAATCTGAGGTGGATTCTCATGAACATGGGGTCACCCAGGAGCCCTACTACATGGAGGGTCACACAAGTTGCCCTCTCTATACTAAAAAATGGTTTAGTGCAGTGGTTCCCAACCTTGGGTTCCCAGATGTTCCTGGACTAAAACTCCCGGAAGCCTTCACCACCATCTCTGCTGGACAGGACTTCTGGGAGTTGAAGTCCAAGAACATCTGGGACGCACTGATTTAGTGCTAAACAAACAATTCTCAGACTTGGGTTTGAGTACTGTCTCTCGTCTTCTTCTGAAGTGGCTACGGTGAGCAATAATGGGAACTGTAGTCCAACCACATCTAGAGGACTACATGTCCCACCCCCAAAACCAAAGTGGGGGGGGAGCCTCTTTCAACCTCGACCTCAATTCAGTTTCAAAGAGAGGCCAAATGTTAAGAGTGAGTTGAAACAAATCCCTCCTTTTACAAAAAAAATAGATACAAATGCTGAGAAAGAGTTAAACCATGTTCTCTTAAGAAAGGTGTGTGGCCTTCTGGAGAAGGGTCAAGGGCCATTTGGGGCTTCCGCGGGGTCAAACCCGGCTCCTGACATTTCCCACGGCTGCCGCAAATGGTAGTTCATCTTAGCAATGATTTGTTTTAATAAATAAGCCTCAATATCCAGAGTCCTCCTCATAGTCGCACCAGAGGGAGACAGGGAGTGGGTGAGAGGCAAACGCCAAGCCTTGCGATGCTGAACTTTCTAAGTCACTGGTAGAGGACTTGTGACCCTCCTTACCAGCCTTAGCCAGCTTTGCTTTTCATTAGAAATTTCCAGAGTCCGAGCTCACCCCTTTCTGGAGCTCACACATTCTCCTCTTGCTGATGTACAGTAAGTATAGCATCAAAACCAGCCTGACAAGTATTCAAAGCACAGCTTGATCAAGTTCTTTTTGGGAGCTACTGTATTTTTCCATGTGTAAGACGCACCCATGTATAAGACGCCCCCCCACTTTTCTAATCCAAAATTAAGAAATCTAAGTGGAGCTTAGCAAGTGTTGGGGGGAAGGGATAAAAGTGCTGCAGAATCGCTTTGATCCCTGATTTCCCCTCCACTTGTTTTTGTTCTCTCCTCAGCTTACTTCTGTGTATAAGACGACCCTCAATTTTTAGTCTAAAGATTTTAGACAAAAGTATAGTCTTATACACAGAAAAATACAGTATAATGCCTAGCATCTCCCAATCCGTCTGGGGCAATGCTGGTTAGGGGAGACTAGGCCTTATAGTCTAAAAACGTTTCTCATCTAAGCCTTGGACCAACTGTTTGTTAAATCACACGTTCACAGACTTGTGCATAGGCAATTTTATTATGCACATTAGCTGTGGCGGTTGTCCGTAAGAAAAATGATTCTGAAAAATCATATTTATACAGTAGGACCCCCTTATCCGCGGGATCAGCATCCACTAATTCACTTATACGCTGCCTGAAAATATCAAAAATATTCAAAGAAAATGCCTAGAAATATATATTTCTTAAGATGAAGTCATCAGAACTGGACCCTAGATGGAGCCAGAGACCATGCTATGTATAGTGTTCACTATTAAAATGGTGTTCACTATAATCTGCATTTTTCCTTGGGGAGAGCTTGGAACTAATCCCCCAGAGATACGTGGCTCCTACTATATATATATTTGTGCATAGTCTCTTTCTACTACCATGCCTGGCACACTAATCTTTCCTGACTCCCACTGAACGCTCAAGAGTTCCTCTGACCAGGGCAGTTCATCTTTCCTTACCTTAAAAATAAAATAATTTTAGAACTCAAAAGAAAATGACTGTGTTTTTTTTCTGGCGTGATCCGCCTTTAGACTGGGCCAGTTCTAGACTTCTACCCACCCGCTCTAGCTGAGGAGTTTATCCAATTTAAGAAAGATATCATATAAATATACATACATGTCTATTTTGCTGAAATATGAACCGACCGACCAAGCAATTCAGCTAGTTAACAATTCCCAGGGGGGAAGAATATGGATTTAATCATGCTGCTCCAGAAATGGAGCTGCCATACGCTGGAGATTCACCAAAGCCCTAACCTGACCCTTACCTGGTGGTCACATAAAACCAGAATCTGGCAGGCATTTCGGTGAGTTGGGTCAAAGAGATGGTCGGTAAATTTATGGTACATTTACTTGGTTGGTTGTTATTTTTTTGCTGTTTTCTCTTGCCAGCCCTTCCTCGGTCACCCTAAGCCTCTGGGATATGGAGATCTCTAAGCCAATGTTGAAGAATTGAATTGAATTCAATTGAATTGAATAGAGTAATGATACTTTTGTCTTATCCCCCCGCCCCCATTCATTTCTTTCAGTATGTGTTTGCTCGCTTGCTTGTTTGCTTGCTTGTTTTCTCTCCTAAAGAAGAATCTGAGTACATGGCTGGACTTTGGAACGATGCCTGCGGATCTCGTCGTAGCCAAGCCTGGCCCAGCTTCGAGGGTCACATCCAGCCCGCTTAAGGACTCAGGGTGGCTCCGTGGTTTTGAAACACGGGTTGCAAAAACAACCCAACTGTCCCTACCACACAAACTAAGATAAAAATCCAGAGAAACAGCCTGTCCACGACCATGGCTACGTATTTCCAATCTTCAATGACCTGGAAAAATAACCAAAGGAACGGGTTTAATCCTTTTCTTCATATTCGTACACTTAACTGCTTTTAGTTTTTAAATATTGTCTTTTAATGACGCAAGCCACTTTGGGTTCTTTTAAGGAGAAAGGCAGGGGGAAAATATTTTAAATAAAGACATGATAAAGAATCAGTTCTACACTCTCCTTTCTTGTTATCTTATGATTCCCCTAGATTTCGTGAGTCACATTCTTTGCACATTTCCCCCTCCTACAGAATTTATAAGGGATTATTTCCTTTTAGAAATGTCAAATGCTTCCTAAGCAATGATTAGAACCCCATCCTAAGTCTTGAACATATATGAAGGTGAGGAAAGCACACCGCTTAGTCTAGCACAGGAGTTCCCAACTGGCGGTCCCAAAAAGATGTTCTTGGACTAAAATTCCCAGAAGCCTTCATCACTAGCTGTGCTGGCCACGGCTTCTGGGAGTTGTAGTCTAAGAACATCTTTTGGGGACCCCAGGTTGGAAACCACTTTGTCTCTCCCGATATTTTGGAGTTCACAAAAGTTGGGGTCTATGATTAGATGATTTCTAAGGTCCCTTCCAACTCAACATGCCGTAATCCATATTTTTTAGAGACACAGATTTCTTTATTTTCAGACTCCATATGGTCCAAAGTCTTTCCATGAACTCTCTCACGTATCTGACATATTTGTTTAGAAAATGCAGCATAATATAGGAAACCATGTGTGGTAAGATGGGTTTGGAAGAGTTGGCCACTCTCTCTATATATACTCTCTCTCTATATATAGAGTATATATATAGAGAGTATATATGGAAAGAATAATGGATAATCAGTGAAAATAACACAATTCACTGGTTTTGGACTCTTAAATATCCAGGCTAGAGAGAAGGAAATTGCATCATAAATATATATAAACCATTAATCTTTAAGATTATAAGGGATTTTGTTAAGTGATTCTTAACCTTTGGTCATTCAAATGTCTTGGACTTCACCATCCACAGCCTCTCACCCTTGACCATTTTGGCTCGGACCTCTGGGAGTTGAAGTCCAAAACATCTGGAGCACCACTGGTGGGAAAATATCTAGTTCTCTTCATCTGCCCCCTCAATGGTCTCTTACATAGTCAAATTTTAGACTGTAAGTCCATTAGACCTATCCTTCTTGACTTTATGTGGCCTATTAATTTATACTATCAATATATATTATGATGTATACAAAATTATGGTGGTTGATATAATAATCATCCAATATGTTTTGATAGAAACAGGACCCACATGCGGTAAATGTCAAGCTAAATGGTATGTGTAACTCTTAATATTTAGAAGAGAAAAGTTACTCAATGGCATTTGCGTTCACTTCCTTCTCAACACCTGTATGATTTCAAGTGGTGTTGTTAGCCCTTGATATATTTAGAAGGGTGGTTCCCTCAATGGTAAAAGATGGCTGTTTTACCTAGTGTGAGGTTTTCTCACCTCTGTACCTAGCACTCCAGTGTGATTTCTTTTCTGATTGGTCATGAGAGGGTAAACATGAGCTTTATTTGCAAGTCTGTTGGCCAAGATACCTACCTCTGAATAAACTGTATCATGGAAAGAAGAATGGATAATCAGAGGAAATTCACTGGTTTTGGACTCTTAAATATCCAGGCTAGAAAGAAGGAAATTGTGTCATAAAACCCAAACTTTTGAGGCCACTTACACTCTCGTTGCTGTCCTCACTTCGCATGTGGTCTGCGATGAAACTGACTCCATCAATGGCTTCCTGGACTTCAGGGGAAAACTTTGCTGATCCTCGTAGCCTCACGTCTTGATGGCTCCCGACGTGATCCTGGTTATCCGTCAGCTTTAGGTCATACTTTTTGGCCGAGGCCATGTTCACAAAGTAGGTGGATCCTTTGTACGCATTGGAAGAGTCAGTGGAAAGCGCTTCTGATTTACTTCGCTTCTGGTTGCGCAACCTTTGCTTCGCCGAGTGGTTCTCCGGGCGTCTCATGAACAGGTAGCGCGGAAGCCTCTCCAGGAAGACCACCTTCACCCAGGGCGGCATCGCGTGAGTACTGGGAGATCTATGGTGGACGTTCAGCACACAGACGCTGGTCACGATGGAGAAGGTCACCAGGACCATCGTAAACATCAGGTACTTTCCGATCAGTGGGACGTCGAGAGATGTTGGGGGGACGATTTTTGAAAGCAGAAGCAAGAACACGGTCAACGCAAGCAAGACCGAGATGCACAGCGTCATCTTTTCTCCGCAGTCCGACGGCAAGTAGAAGACCAGGATCGCCAACGACGTGATCAGCACACAAGGTATGATGAGGTTGATGGTGTAGAAAAGGGGCTTCCGCCTAATGATGAAATCATAAGTCACGTCCACATAGTTAGCATCTAAGGGGTTTTCAGTTCGCCGCCCTGGGAGAGCCACAATGTCCCATTCGCCACTAGGTGTGAAGTCATCCATGCTGGCTGTGTCAGTTTTCAGGACCATGTCGATTTCCGAGTGGTCATAAGTCCACGACCGGAACTTTAATGTGCAGTTTTGCTGGTCGAAAGGGAAATGCTTCACTTCGATCTTGCACGCGCTCTTGTAGATGGCGGGAGGCAGCCAGAAGATGCTTCCATTATTCTTTACAATGACATTTGTGTACACGGAAACTTCATAGGTGCCATCGGCGCTAAAAGAAACCAAGACATGAAAGATAAAACTTGGAGGAAAGGTGGAGAGGAAATAAAAAAGGATGTATGGAAATAAAACTGATTATTTTTGATTACATCATAATTAATAATTGCATGCCCACAAGTCAATTCTATTTTGTTTTTGTTTTTTTTGTTTTTTGCAATTCTTCACTCTGGAGGCACACAGTGGAGAATCGAACTCCCAAAATCTGGTTCTATATCCCTCAACAGTTATACAACTTATAAACCCTGCCTGTACGTTCTTGTCCATATTCAGTACCAGCTGCATGATTTACCATCCCCATAGACTTATGGCAGCCTTAATTCTGAGGTCATCAAAATGCAAGCCACCTTCACCCAGCTCCGAACCCCCAAGAGATACATAGGGGACAATATTGTCACCTAATGCACAATATTTTTTAAAAGCTGTCTATGCAATAATTAGCTAGATGATGACTGAGACATTATGGCTGTTATGTATATTCTGGCCTTAAGTTAGATTTTCTGTTTATGCAGCTCAGCTGCAGAAGATGGAAGGGGGCATAAACTTACTTGTTGTAGAGCACGATGTCTGGAAGCCAGACCTTTTTAGCGGGTATCCTTAATTTTTTGATGCCGTCATACTCTGAAGGTTCCCAAGCTAAACGGTAATCGGTCCATTCCTGCAAGTGGCATACAACCACAACATTAAGCCTTTTTTAAACCCATATTGTAGCTCAGCAGATTTGCTTGTTTATTGGTCTATAAAACACCTAAAACAAATTATAGTTTTGAAAACACAAACACAGAGCTGGATTACAAATATCTAAAAAGCACCCTAGTCCATGGCCCCAGGTGCTTATATCGCACAAGAAGGCATGCTTTGTGCATTTATATACATGGAAAAGAGGAGGAATAGGTATGCCCAATAGTAAGTTAGAAATATTCCAAAATGAAACAAATGTACTGCATTTTTTTTTCTTTCAATCTGTACTTGTGCAGTTCATGGTGATTGCTTAAAGAGGAATTCCATATGTATTCCTTCAAAAGTGTGTTCCTTTGAATTTAGTGAGGCTTATTTCCAGATAGTGGATACAGGATTCTTTAAGAATTCAGCCAGTCTGAACACCATAGGGCTGTTCCATAGTTCCAAATATTGGTGGGCAGAAACAGATGACACAGAAGCTTCACAGTTAGAAGTGGAGCTGCCTTAAGAATTAAAAGATATTTGGTTTTTATATATTCATGAGGTTTTACAGCTGTAAGTTAGTAAGCCCTTGGAAAATATAGTGCTGATGCTGTTATAGCATGCATGCTTGGGGATCCATTTTGTGGTGCTTGTCGGGGGTCTGGGTGACCTAAAACAGGCAGAATGAGCCTCCAGAAGTCCTGGTCCAATGTACCTCTGCACCAGAGGTAGATTGATCCTCCAGCAGATTTGGCCCAGTCTAGCCACTCTGTACAAGACCTGGATCCTAGATTGCAGCAGAAGTCCAAGAAACCTGGAGTCTAGTTCCCTCACCCTGTGTTAGCGGTAAACCAGACTGCCAAAATATCTGGTGCCCTATCTCCTCATTTTCTGCCAAGGCCTCCAGAACTCCTGGCAGAAACTGTAATATTAAACTGCCCCGTTTACTGCTGAGGGCTCCATTTTCTTGGAATGCATCCTGTGCATGAGGAGGGGCATGTAAATGGTCACTGGGAGACCAGGACCAGATGCTGTAAATATGAAGTAGCTGCTTCGTTGTTTCTGCTCCCGTTTGGGAGGTTTGAACTGAAGACCCACGGGATGGTTACCTGATTGAGCCATACGTTGGTGGTCATGATCTGCTCACGTTCATTCTAAGGCAGAAAATAAAGAAAGATTGACATAGAACATATGGATAAAACACACATCCCGAAGAAATCATATGTGAATCAGTTCAATGATTTTTGCACCAATGCATTCTGCCACCATCATTCCTGGTCTTAGAAGGGCAACCAACAAAATATCTAGGAGACGTCAGCCGATGAGCAAACAAGCTTGTGTAGACCAAAGCAAAGATCAGTAGATGTCAAGCCAGAACTTGGGGGGGGGGATGCTTTGGGGATTACTACTCCCAGAACTCGAGCCATGTAGTTGAAACACCAACTTGCCAAAACTCTTGTTCAGATACGTATCTTTTTTTAAAAAAATAGATTTTAGAGGTGCACAAACCAAACCTTGATACGAAATGTTAGCTTGGGGAGCCAATCAAAGAATATCCATCTTGATTGGGAGAATCTTGAGGGTTAGCGGTAAACCAGACTGCCAAAATATCTGGTGCCCTATCTCCTCATTTTCTGCCAAGGCCTCCAGAACTCCTAACAGAAAGTGCAATATTAAACTGCCCCGTTTACTGCTGAGGGCTCCATTTTCTTGGAATGCATCCTGTGCATGAGGAGGGGCATGTAAATGGTCACTGGGAGACCAGGACCAGATGCTGTAAATATGAAGTAGCTGCTTCGTTGTTTCTGCTCCCGTTTGGGAGGTTTGAACTGAAGACCCACGGGATGGTTACCTGATTGAGCCATACGTTGGTGGTCATGATCTGCTCACGTTCATTCTAAGGCAGAAAATAAAGAAAGATTGACATAGAACATATGGATAAAACACACATCCCGAAGAAATCATATGTGAATCAGTTCAATGATTTTTGCACCAATGCATTCTGCCACCATCATTCCTGGTCTTAGAAGGGCAACCAACAAAATATCTAGGAGACGTCAGCCGATGAGCAAACAAGCTTGTGTAGACCAAAGCAAAGATCAGTAGATGTCAAGCCAGAACTTGGGGGGGGGGATGCTTTGGGGATTACTACTACCAGAACTCGAGCCATGTAGTTGAAACACCAACTTGCCAAAACTCTTGTTCAGATACGTATCTTTTTTTAAAAAAATAGATTTTAGAGGTGCACAAACCAAACCTTGATACGAAATGTTAGCTTGGGGAGCCAATCAAAGAATATCCATCTTGATTGGGAGAATCTTGAGGGCTGGCAGATTTATTTCTGTTTCGCCTGTCATGGGTTCAAATCTGCTTCCTCAGAAGCATGGATGGTAATCCACAACACTTCACGCTTTCAACAAGCTCATGCATTAGTCTTTCAGTCTTGAAGTCTTGACAATGCTTTCACGTTTATCGTTGCACTAGGTTTGTCATGCACGCTGAATACGAAACCAATGCAGAAAGTGACACAGCGCTCTATTTGACAACTGGCGTTATGACGTCCATTTCTCCTTTTCTCACCTTTTTCTAAACTACATAGCCCCGTATGTTGCAATTCTTCTTTCTAAGAGAGAAGGGTTTTTTTAAAAAAGTCCTCTGGCCATCTTATCCTTTTATTTTTTAAAAAAATCTCAAGATAATCAGCCCTTTTAATATTGAGCTCAGCTTGCCCAAGATACTATGGAGATAAGATGTGTCTCAACCATACCGTCAACATGTCTTAAGGATATGCAGATTTGATGTACATTTCTTACTTCAATTACCCAGGTTAGTGACAATGTCGTTCAAAAACTTTGTATAACTCTTATGCCCCCCCCAAAAAAACATATCTGCAAAGCATAAATAGTTGATTCACACACGAACAAAACAATTAACTCCATCAAGGGTCTCTTTCATCGCATTGACAATCCTTTCCTACTACCTGCTACTATGAGTAATTCTACTACATGAGTAATGAACCTTAAAGGGCCTTAAGACCCCCTGATCCAGAGGCTGAATTACATATGTTGTGTTTCAGGGCATGTAGAATTATTTCATCATCTTCAGTAATGAGGTTCTGGGAAGCCATGGGGATGATATTTATTGAATATTTATTTACTGGGATATTTATTTATGTATTTCCTGTATAAGAAAAATGGTGCTGTTCAGAGCAGTGCAATTCACGGGAGAAATGTATTCCTAATGGGTCTGGGTGGAAAGTCAAGCTAATAATCCTGCTAGAAATCAGGGATCTTCTGTATAGATTTATTCAGATTTTTACAAGGTACTGTAAATACAGAGTCAACCCTCGATGCTGTTCAAACATCTCCGAGAGCCTGCCCTGGCTGGAAAGAGAAAGACTGAGCATTAAATAAAAATAGTAATGTGATTAGAGTGTCTTCTTGTGCTCACAAGATGACCCTGACTCCAGGCTATCTATCAAGGCAGTAAAAGAAAAGCTTTTAAATGGGAGAGGGGGAGAAAGAAAGAGAAGACTTTGGAAATGTAGAAAGTAGGGGATTAATGGAGAAATCACAGCCCAAAAGGGATCTGTCCCTGCAGCTTCTCATTAAGGACAAAAGCAGACGCTGCTTTCTCACTGCTTCTCAGAGGGAGAGAAAAGGATGGAAGAGAGAAAAGGCTGAAATATGGGATTGATTCTGAAAGGGTGAGGAAATTTAGGGTTCAGGGTTACCGTAGGAGTGCCACCTTGGGCTTGGCAGGATCTCACCCCAAAATGGTTGCTTTGGATGGGGGATTTACTGCGTAAAAATATACCCATCGATGACTTCACGACAGCCAGGTCCCCAGCAGAATGGGAGCCCTGAGCTTAGAAAGAAACCACAGGTCACAACCTGAACTTAGTACAGTGGTGCGTCGCAAGACGATTGCCTCGCAAGACGATTAATCCGCAAGACGATTGTTTTTTGCGATCGCTGTGACGATGTTTTCTATGGACGATTTTCACAAGACGATGATTTTCCCCCACTGGAATGCATTAAATAGATTTTAATGCATTCCAATGGGGAACTGCGTTTCGCAAGACGATGTTTTCACAAGACGACTTTTTTCGCGGAACAAATTAACATCATATTGCGAGGCACCACCGTAGTTTATCCTTGCAAGGTGATAACAGGCTGGCTGGGACAGAGACGTGGAGTGTGGTCGGACAACTGCAAAGGCGTTTGTCCAGTTGCACAGGAACGGGTGGCTTTGGAGGGAGCGATGCCCCTCAAAGTGACCCTTACACCTATCTGGGAATCAATTTACCCCGAGCCCCCCAAAGGTAGACAGGCTGCAGCTGGACCAAAAGAGATTCGCCTTGGACACGGATTGAGATCAGGCTGGGGTGCATTTTTCTGTACGCCGTGTAATTGCTAGGAAAGACGTTACACCGGACTGCTCCGTTAAGTGACCCAGATCACCAGCTCCTGAAAGCCCAAGTCAGCAACAGCCAATGGCTTAGTTGTTACCCTACCACTCTGAAGGGATCTCATCTGATCTTGGAAGCTAAGCAGGCCTGTGTTAGGTTAATATTTGGATGGGAGACCCCCCACTCCTCCAGGGGAAGCGATGGCTCTCGAGACAGGGCTAGGAAAGACTCTGGCCTGCAATTTTGGACAGCCGTTGGTGTCAAGACTGGGCCACATAGGCAGAGCCTGAAGGTGCATGCAAAAGAGTCACCATTGCTGATGCTGGCAGGGCTGATGAGCGTTGTCATCCAATAATAGCCAGAGGGCTACATTTTACTGATACCTATATAAAAACAATGAAAAGTCTCTGGCATTTTTCTGTATTTCTGGTCCAGCTGCCCTTCTTTGCCCTGGGAGTCACACAAGCATCTCTGTATCACAACAATGAAAATAAAACTCTGGCTTATTTATAGGAGTTATACCCAAGTCTTTGATGCAAAGGTCCTCAAAATTTACAACAATTGAAGCCACAAACAATGCAGCATCTGCCCCAAAGAGAGAGCCTTCTCTGTTGAAGAAGGCAGTCCTTGTTTTACAGCAATGACCAATATTTGGGGAGAGCCAAATTAGCCCACAAAGGGCATCCGTTTCAATTTCGTCTCCTGCAAATGGGTCCCAAGCTCTTTAAATGAGGTAACGGGGCTGCCCAGATCAAGCCAGAAAGGTAATCGACACATTCGAGGTGAAACTGGAGGGCAGCTGCAAAAGAAGGAACAGGAAGAGCTGATTTAGAGATCAGTAGCCCGTGCCCTGGGATCAGAGGGCTCCCAACCATAATGGAATAAATCGGCTATGTCTCAAACTGTAAATCCTTCTAATTGCATTCAAGCTCTTTGTCATTGCTCTCCCATCCTGCTTGTCCTTGATTACATTTATTTCTATAAAATGAAATTGGTTCAGTCAGACGGTTGCTTGGCCTGGGTTTCCTAGATTACAGAAGCTTCTCAGTTAGAAGTGGAGCTGCCTTAAGAATTAAAAGATATTTGTTTTTTATCTATTCATGAAGTTTTACAGCTGTTTCCTAGATTACGTGGGGGAGGCACACAGAACTGTGCTCTGGTCTTCCTCTGTCTTTCCAATACTTTGGTATTTGTGTGATTTGGGGGACAGTAGAGGTTGCCTTCCAGGGTCAATGCTTTTCCAAGGCTGACCTTCAGTGTGAAGTCTGTCCCTCGTACCCCTTAGTACCTCCTGCCTTACTGTCACCAACCTCGTGCATCCCTGGAACGGTTAAGTCGGGACATACGGCTTACCTCTTCTCCACTGAATTTCATTTCATTGCTCATTGGGGAATATAACAGGCATCTCTCAACTCCAAGACCAAAACTCTCACTTGTATATCCCACTTGTTGTCCACCACTGATTTATTGTGGCAGGTGCCAATGGAGAATAGCTTGACAGCTAGGGAGCTGCAGATGGTATGGAATATGGTGAGGATTCAGGAGACGTGCTTGGCCAAGGAAACCCACTGAGGTGTAGTAGGGTAGACCACTCCTCACATACCGTGAAAACCCTATTAAGTTTGCCAGAAGGCAGAAAGAACTTGGCAGCAGATAACAAATGTTGGAAGATACATCCACTTCAATAAGCCTACCCAAGAATTAAGTCGCATTCTTAAATTCCTTTGTAGTCTAAATT